ACACACACACACACACACACACACACACACACACACACACACACACAGACTTTTACCGTCCACACTGGCTATTGACTCCTTCCCCATTAATTATCTTTTCCATCAACTAAATTATTTAACCCAATTCAGTGCTGATCTTGCCCTCACAGTTTTATTGCACCTGATGTTTTTTCAGTGAATAGACAAGTGCTCCTCTGTACCAGCTAGGTCAATGAGTAAAACCTTGAGAATAACACGGAAAAAGTTTGTCAATTTAGAGATGCGAACATTTTAAACAATTAGTCATCAAAGTAAGTAGGGTACCCAACTGCAAAAGTAATTAATTACATTACTCATTAAATTATAATTTCATTATTCTGCAAAAGCCTCTACACCTACATCTCATATTCTGTATTGACACATGTAGAAACAGAAAACCAGATATTTTTGTAGCAACTGGCTTATGTTTTAGATGTTTGTATTCACCATCAACAGCTAGCTTAACGTTAGCCACACGACTCGTTAATTAAGATACTGAAACACGCTTTTTGCGTTACTGCCAAACACAGCTAAATAACACATTATATCTCGTTTGTTTTTTGTGCAAAAACCAAAGTGTAAAGATGAGCATTTACCTTTAGCACAGGAATTATAGAAGCTAGGCTAAGCTATCATGTTGCTAGCTCCAGTTAGGCCTTCATATTTACCATACAGAAATAACAGCAACATTGAAAAGGAAATAAGCATATTTCCCGAAATGTCAAACTATTCCTTTAAAACTCTGTATGGCAGTCGATAGTGTGTTTCGCAGCATGGGTGTGTGAGTGTAGGTGCATATGTATGTGTGTATGTATAACAATTGTCAGACTGAGATGCTTTGTGTTAATCAATGTCTTGTCAAAGGGAGCTGAGAATAAGACACATCCCGAGGAGAGATCAGTGCAGGGACAGGCAGGAGACAAGTGGGCTGACAGAGAGATGGATGGATATTCACAGGAGAGTGGACATAGGAGGATGAGAGAATAGGCAACATGAGAGTGTCCTATGTCCTCTGGTGAAGGGAGGAGCTGAGGAGATGGGATAAGACTGACATATATGAAACAAATGAGACTCACGTTGCCAGCTGTTGGCTAAAGAAATGTGTAGCTGATGTGCAAGTTTGCACCAAGTTTGCAGAGATGGATCACACAATGCAAGGAATCTTCTTCACTCACCGTGTCCCATAACTCATCAAAAGATTGGTGTTGAAGTAGATGACCTTTTCAATGGATATATAATTCACCACCAATATGTACTTTGCCCTTTACAGCGATGAGCATGGATAGGGAGTATGAATATTTATAGCTGGTCCAATATGGGAAAAACTGGGCTGGTCAGTCGCTCGGTCTGTGGTGCCTGCACACACACACACACACACACACACACACACACACACACACACACACAAACACACACACACACACACTATAGTTTTGATGACATCAGTTTGGTACTATTTCATCATCTCGTCTGCTATTGACCTCATTATGTGGCAGTGGGATAAGGTTGGATCTGACTTGGAAGAGGGGACTGGTGGACAAAGCAGTGCCTTGTTAAAACCCAACACAGTGGCTCAGCCTTAAAAATGTGAGGCGTAAACGTAAGAAGGAAAGATGAATTAAAAGTGGAGAGTAAAGCTTTGGAGTCAAGGTTTGGATTTAGCAGACAAATGCTTTTAAGATGGCTCTCAAGCAACAAGCAGCACAGACAATGCAGAAACTGATAATGTTATGTGTGTAGAGTACATAATCATGTAGGATCCGAAAGCTAATTAAAAATTGTAATATATCACTTAAAGGTTGTGGCGATGACAAGCTTGGGCTCAATTAGAGGAAATGAGCGGCTCGCCTCCAGGTGTGATGTGGCTTCTGTGAGGTAGAAGTGTCAGACAAGGTGTCAACATGGGCCTCATGTGGCACTTCATTGGACTTATTTTTTGCCTTTTTTTGTGTGTTGTGTGTTGGTAGAGTAATTATTAATGAAGACAAATTTTCTGTGCGGTACGTTGCTTTAATATTAGATACAATTATGATGGGGAACATTTTGTGTTAAAGGAAAATAGTCCACCCCTTTACTCAGCATTTCTTTAAGATAAAACAGAATGGGTCCTCTTATGTACCCTGCAGTTTGCCCTTGTTTTCTATTCTTGTCTTTTCCTCTAAAAACACACACATTTATGCGCATGTTCATGCACACAGCTATTATTTGACGACATGTTTCTGTTATAATGGCTGAGGCCATTATATTCTGCCGAAGAAAACGACTTGGCTGGTTGTTACTGTCTTTTGTCGTGTCTTTGTTGTGCTTTCACTTTTGCCTCCCCATTATACCATTATTTCCTCCTCATCAGGGAAGCAGGATTTCGTTTCTTTCATCGACAGCAGTGTTTGATAGTAGCAGAGCTGACATAAATAAAGGCAAAATGCTTATTGGATAACCATTTTTAAGTATATCAGAATAAGAGGGATATTAATGTCTGCCCTGTGAACAGGTTTTAAATGACCTTCT